TGACTGTCCTGTGGGAAACGCTCGTTCCTGGCAGGCTGGGTGGTCTGGGTGCTGGAATTTCAGTCTCATTGGCTGGGGTGGGGGTGTGGCTCACCAACCCCTCAGTGTCACAGAGAGAGGTATCAGGGTGATGTCACCCCCATCCAGCGTGGTGGGAAGTTATAGTCATGAAAGAAACTGGGTCTGTTTTTCTCTGCAGGTCCCCAGGTTTACATTGGACACAGTCCATTTGGGTTGGCTGGCCTGGCTTCGTTTAAAATATTTAAAGCTAGCCTTTTTAGTGCTGCTTGACCGCATCAGCCAGGCTCCCACCGCCCATCAGAGCTGTCCGTCTGCATTAGGACTGGGGCTGGGCGAGGGGATGAGATCATCTGTTTTGGTGTTACAGGTGTTGATTTTTAGAACCTCATCACTATGGCAATTTGAATAAAGCAGGTTACTGTCCCAGAGGGGAGGCTTAGCATGTGGTGCTACTTAGGCACAGACGCCGCTGTCATCTCAACGCATTGTGAGAGCTGAACTTGAGCAGCGGCTTGACACTGCTCTCCTTTGGCTGGCTTATTGGGGCCGGGTGCGTGCAAGGAGCAGACACGCACAGGGAACCACAGTCAGGAGCGCCCAGCGGCTAATTTCCTCTGAACTTAGTAGAATGGAGACATAAGCACTTTGAGACCCTGGTGTGGGACCCATTAAAAACAAGGAAGGGTTCTGCGAACTGCTTGCTTTTTGCCAGCGCAGCACTGGGGGCTGCTGACGGCAGGTGAATTATTCGCCAGGTGGCGGCCTCTCCTGCGCTCTGCTAGAAGGGTCTGACAGGTCAGTTGGCAGCCAGCTTTGTCCTTTTTTTGCAGTCTCAAGAGACCAAGAGAGGCGGGGTTCTCATCACCAGCTGCTTCATCCTATCTCTACGTGGTTTGTGGATGGGGGCAAAGGGCTGATTCTGCCTGGAATGCCCTGGATTCATGCGTGCAAGAAATATTCATTGAGCACCTGCTCTGTACCTGCCGCTGTTCCAGGCTTTGGGGCTAGAGCTGTGGACCACATAGTCAATAATCCCAGGTCTCATGGAGCTGACATTCTAGTGCCGCAAAAGGACAACAAACAAGATAAATATGTAAAAATACATTAAAAAAAAAAAAAAGTTGCCATCAAGTCGATTCTGAGTCATGGCGACCTCGTGGGTTACAGAGTAGAACTGCTGCATAGGGTTTTCTTAGCTATACAGTCTTTACGGAAGCATATTGCCAGGTCCTTCTTCCGTGGCCCCAGTGGGTGAGTTCAGATTGCCAACCTTTTGGTTAGTAGTCAAGCACAAACCATTAGCCCCACCCAAACAGAGCTGGAAAAGTAAAACAAGGAGGGGGATATGAAATATCAGGCATGATGTGGTAACAGTTTGGATGTAGTGGCCAGGGAGGACCTCACTGAGAAGGTGACTTCTGAGTAAAGATAACAAGGAGGTGAAGGTGCAGGCCTTGTCCAGAGGGGCCAGTTTCCCAAGAACAGTCTGAGGCTGGTGAGACCCAGCTCTGCCTGACCCTGAGACAGGAGAAGTTATGCTGTTGGTGCCTGAGGTAACTCAAGTAAACACCAGCTGGTTGAAGGAGGCCTCGTTGGAGCCGCCCTCAGTCCCCTCAATCCTACCTGCTCAGTCTCCTCCAGAGGGGACTGCACACCTGGCTGAAGCCCCGTGTTGCCCAACAATTACAGCTGGGGCCCTGGTGACTTCTCAGGAGGGCGTGTGGTCTGGGTGATAGATGTTCACACCATTCTGGGACTTAGCAATTCCTGTTCAGTTAGTAACACAAAGCTGAATCTTTCCCCCACCTGCCACAGGCAACCTTGGCCGAGAGCCTGAGGAAGCGCACCTGGTTCCAGGATGGAGTCCCTTATAAAGCAGCCTAGGTGCTGAGCTAGTAGAGACAAGATTTGCTCCTGGTTTCCTTCAGTCATTCGGTGGTTTTGTTAATGAGCACCATTGTCTATCCCAGGCTGGGAAAACTGTGGAGAAACAGACAGACCACACCCTGGATCACCCAGAGCTCCCAGCTCAGAACCAAAAACACCAAACCTGTTGCCATCAAGTCGATTCTGACTCATAGTGACCCTATAGGACAGAGTAGAACTGCCCCATGGGGTTTCCAGGGGGCACCTGGTAGATTCCAGAGGCAGACCATAAACTAGCAAACCAGTAAACAAGACCATCTCAGAAGTGGGTAAATGCTGAGAAGAAACAACTGACTTTGGTGTGATAGGGAGTAAGCAGGGCAAGGGCGCCTTTAGAAGGGGAAGTCATTCAGGCCTCCCTGAGGAGATAACCTTTGAGTTGAGATCTGAATGATGGGATGAGCCAGCTAAGTGAAGTCTGGGGAAGAGTCCTAGGCAGAGGAAACAGCATGTGCAAAGACCCTGTGGCAGGAACAAGCTTGGGGCATTTAAGAAATAGTGAGGAGGCCCGGTGTCATGGATTGAATTGTGTTCACCAAAAATATGTGTATCAATTTGGCTGTGCCATGATTTCCGGTATTGTGTGATTGTCCACCATTTTGTCATCTGATGTGATTTTCTTATGTGCTGTAAATCCTGCCTCTATGATAATTAATGAGGGGGGATAGGTGGCAGTTGTGTTGATGAGGCAGGACTCAATCTACAAGATTGGTTTGAGTCTTGAGCCAGTTTCTTTTGGGATATAAAAGAGAGAAGCGAGCAGAGAGACAGGGGGACCTCATACCACCAAGAAAGCAGTGCAAGGAGCAGAGTGCTTCCTTTGGACCCGGGGTTCTTGCGCAGAGAAGCTCCTAGTCCAGAGGAAGACAGAGAGGTAGGATTCTCCTGGAGCTGACGCCCTGAATTTGGACTTCTAGCCTACTAGACTGTGATAAAATAAATTTCTCTTTGTTAAAGCCATCCACTTGTGGTATTTCTGTTATAGTAGCACTAGATAACTAAGACACCAGGTAACCAAACTGAGGTGAGCAAGAGAGGAGGAGAGGAGCTGAGGTCAGAGGGGAGTGGAACTTGGGGAGCCAAGTCATGAAGAGTCTTTAGGCCACAGGAAGGAATTTGGGTTTTTTCTGAGTGTGATGGGAAGTTACTGGGTGATTTTAAGCAGCAAAAAGATACGATCTGTTTGCCTCAGGGAAGCTCTAACTCTGTTTCCTTCCCTGTTTGGCAGAAAGATGGGATAAAAGAACCATATAAATCTCCATTTTACTCTCAGCTCTTGGGGATGGGGGCTGAGGTGTCTGATTAGCTGTTTCCAAGCCTCTAGGGGATTGTTAGGTGACTGGGGTCAGCAGGTCTCCGGCAAGAACCTCAAATGCCTGATGAACCCTGAATTAGTCTCCTACAGTGGAGGTGACAAATTGCCACACACTCAGTGGCTTAAAACAACAGAAATTTCTCTCGCAGTTCTGGAGACTGGAAGTCTAAACTCAAGGTGTATCAGGACCAGGCTCCCTCTAGAGGCTCGAGGGAACGGTCTTTCCTTGCCTCTTCCTGGCTTCTGGTGGCTCCAGGAGCTCCTTGGCTTGTGTCCGTCTCAGCCCAGTCTCTGCCTCTGTCTTCAGAGCCTTCTCCTTTATTTCTGCATCTCCTCCTCTTCTGTCTCTTTTGTCACTTGTCATTGGATTTAGGGCCCGCCCGGATGATCCAGGAAGGTCTCATCTCAAGACCTTTAATTACATCTACAAAGACCCTTTTTCCAACTGAGGTCACTTTCACAGGTTCCAGGGGTTCAGGCACGGACATATCTTTTGGTGGGAACCACTATTAAACCCACCACAGACCCTAAGAACTGCAAGAAAAAAAGAAAAAAAATTAAGATGGCAATAGAAGGAAGAGAAAAAGGATTTCTATTGAATATTTACATGGAATATACTGCTTGACTACCAACCATATGGTACAATTATGCAACGCCTCTGCACATTGTTGAGTACCTACTATGTGCTATACACCACAGTGGTGCTAAGGACTCAGCATTGAGTAACACACAGTCCTTGGCCTGGTGGGCATGAAGCCAAGTGTAGTGGGCATGGACACACCCAGCACACAGTAGGGCTTCCACCTGTGTTAGTTCCCTTCCTTCCTCACTGCCTTACTCTGCTTGCAGCTTCCTTGAGAAACAAGAATAGGCATGAGTGAAACCATGACACGTGGTAGTATATAATTCAGTTCGAATAACTGCTTACACGTGTGATAAGAGCTCAAGGGAATCAGTTAGAAGCCGGAGGGATCCCAGAAGGCTCACCAGGCAAGGTGTGGTTTGACTGGTAGTTGGCCTTGGGTACAGGTGGGCAGTGGGTTCCGTGTGGGAAGGATGGCATGGACAAGGGAGAGGAGCGTGAGTGTGGTCCATGGCTAAGGCAGAGAATTTCAGCTGAGAAGTCTTCAGGGACAAGCTTGGCCAGGGGGTTGGTGTGACCAGATTTCAATGAGTGCAAACAATTCTTGGGGAAGTTCCAAACAAAACAAAGTATAATCTACCCTCAATTTACACAGTGGTTGCTTTCCAAAAAAAAAGATCAGTGTATATTAATACCCTGCAAAAAAAAAAAAAAGATGTTCCGTTTATATGTAAAAACAGAGTTGATTCTAGGCTCAGATAATCTGTAAATAGGTTTTTACTTACTCCCCATGAATGGCCAGTGAGACTTGGGACCCAAGATATTTCCTCATTGTCTGGGACTGTCCCATGGTGCATGGTAGGAGGTCTGTCATCTCTGGCTCCTGCCCACAAATGCCAGTAGTGCCCCCCCCCCATTTACTCCCCTTGATTCCCAAAATGCCACCCCTCTCTAAGGATGGGGGTATGGGGTGCCCTTCAGGGATGGGGATAGGGGATGCCCTTCAGGGATCGGGGTGGAGGGGCCACCCTATTAAGAACCACTCAGCAGGTCAGTCCCTGATTGTGCTGATGCCCTTACGGGGCACACAGCTGGTAGGTATCTGCTGCACAGCCAGGTCTCGGGATATCCATCTCACCTCCGCCCTCCTTGCAGGTTCCATGCAGGTGATGAACAAGACGCGGCGCATCATGGCGCAGGGCGGGGCCCACTTCATCAACGCCTTCGTGACCACGCCCATGTGCTGCCCCTCGCGCTCCTCCATCCTCACGGGGAAGTACGTCCACAACCACAACACCTACACCAACAACGAGAACTGCTCCTCGCCCTCCTGGCAGGCGCAGCACGAGAGTCGCACCTTTGCCGTGTACCTCAACAGCACGGGCTACCGGACAGGTGAGGGGGGCAGGGCTGCTGCGGCAGGAGCCTCTGGAGGTGACGGCTCTGCCCTCACCTAAGACCAGCATTTTGTCTAGGTGTGCTCTGGGTATTCCGGGGCACACAAGATGCTATTAGGTGGTATATAGGTGAATCTCGTTTCATTTAAAAGTTGTGCACTTATTTCTATACGTATTTGAAAAAATTCAGATTTATTTGCCCGTATTGTTGTTAGCTGCCATGGAGTCGGCCCCCACCCCATGGTGACCCCTTGCACAACAGAATAAAACACTGCCCAGTCACTGCCCAGTCCTGTGCCATCCCTATGAGCAATTGCGATCAGATCGTTGTAATCTATAGGATTCTCACTGGCTAATTTTCAGAAGTAGATCTCCAGGCCTTTCTTCCTTGTCTATAACTAAAAACAAACAAAAAAACAGTTGCATCAATTCAGACTCATGGCGACCCCATGTGTTTCAGAGTAGAACTATGCTCCACAGGTTTTTCAGTGGCTGATTTTTCATAAGTAGATCACCAGGCCTTTCTTCTGAGGCACCTCTGAGTGGATTCAAATGGCCAACCTTTCGTTCAGTAGCCTAGTGCTTAACTGTTTATGCCACCCAGGGACTTCTTTCTTGTCCATAGTAGTGATATGAAATGACCTTTTGAAAGGAATTTGGGCTCAAACAAAATAAAGTGAGTCCATTTAAAATATGAACTGTAGTACAGAGTGGCCATAAGGTACCCATGCATGAGTTTACATTTGCTGTTAATTTTAAGTTATTAAAGCCAACAGGGGCTGCTTTACGGACTCCAGACCATCAGCCTGGAAGAAGCTTCCAGAAGAACATTGAGGGTGGGAGGAAAGGAATTAAAATTGATGTGGAGAATGGAGAGGAGCTTGTGTGGAGACTCTGTGGCCACTCTACGTAGTGGTGATCAGGATGATGCAGAAGTTGGCATGGCGGTGACTGCTGACTGTCTACACTGACCCAGCATGCTCCCATCTCTCCTTCAGCCAGTGCTGCAGTGTTGCATGCTGGGTAGAAAGCGAGCCAGGCTTCCTGTTTGTTTATCTTGCAGGAGGTACTCTGGTGGGTTCTGGAGACTCACCTGCCAGCCTGGTTGCCTGAGGCAGAGGAGCAGTTCCAGTGCATTCCCTTATCTTGAGCACTGTTGCAAAAGGCTCCAAACTCAATTCATTTCATTTGCTTTAATTAAAAAAAAAAAAATACTCCTCACCATGGGTGAGGAGCGAGACAGTTGTGAAATCAGGTATTGTAGCTCATATGTTTCAACCCCAGGAAGTGCCATCCGTGGGACAAGGGTCTGTCTGGGTGGCATGGACATCAAAGTTGAATGCAGATGCCTCTGGTTCACCTCGAGACTGGGCAGCTTCCTGTCAGACACACAGTGTGGGCTGGCGAGGGCACGCTGGGGTGGGAAACAAGCAGGTCAGGCTGTGTGGAAAGTGGGTCCTGTTGGCAGAACCAGGAAGGCCTCCATCCTACACACAGGGCAGTCTGTCACACATCCCATGATGTAGAAGAATAACCCTGCTGGTTCCTGGGGGGTCTTAGCAGAAAGCCGAGCATGCCAGAGGTTACCCTGTGCCGCCACCCTAGATGGTTACAGGGACCTGGATGTAGCCGGATGAAGCAGGCCGGGTGAGGCCTGAAGCCGACCAGTGGCTCTTGCTAAAGGGCACATCTGCCGCCCAGGTCCTGATAATTACAGCCGTGAGTGCCCAGGGTTACCAACTTTCAAAGATTTTTAAATCTGAATTTTTAGCTGAAGTCTCCAGATTTTAAAAAATGTTGGCAAAATTCAGTTTTTGTAGGTGTGCATTGTTAGCCAAACAAAACATATCTGAGCGTGGCCACAGACGCCTCATTTACAACCTGTGCCTGAAAGGTCTATGTAGAAGCCTTTAGCTTTTGATGCCACTGGAACAGTAAGGACCCAAAATGGGTTCTCATCAGTTCCCCTCATTTGACAGCCAGGACAATTGCAACCCAGAAAAAGGTTGTCATGGACTGAATTGTGTCCCCTAAAAATATCTGTCAACTTGCCTAGGCCATGATTCCCAGTATTGTGTGATTGTCCACCATTTTGTCATCTGATGTGATTTTCCTGTGTGTTGTAAATCCTACCTCCATGATGTTACTGACGCAGGATTAGAGGCAGTTGTGTTAATGAGGCAAGACTCAATCTACAAGATTAGGTTGTGTCTTAAGTCAATCTCTTTTGAGATATAAAAGAGAGAAGCAAGCAGAGAGACGGGGGACCTCGTACTATCAAGAAACAAGAGCTAGGAGAATAGTGCCTCCTTTGGACCCAGGGTCCCTGTGCTGAGAAGCTCATCAACCAGGGAAGATTGATGACAAGGACCTTCCCCCAGAGCCGACCGAGGAAGCCTTCCCCTGGAGTTGGCGCCCTGAATTCAGACCTTTAGCCTCCTAGACTGTAAGAGAATAAATTTCCATTTGCTAAAGCCATCCATTTCTGTTATAGCAGCACTAGATAACTAAGACAGAGGTTTTCCCATAGCCATTTAATGAAGTGTTTGTGGCGTAATCAAAATGGAAACTAAGGCCATCAGAAATCGAGGAGGAGGTGTGGAAACTGCATCAGTCGAACTGAAATCCTGTGATGTTTGCTGGGTAGGGAGAGGGACTTGTGATGGGAACCAAAGCCTAGAATTTTGGAATCATATAGCCAATGCAAGTAAGGAACCATCTCAAATATAAACATTCCCAAACTTATCCTTGAACTTACCCAAGTCACCAAAAAGCTATCTCCCAAAGAATTGCTTTTATCCAACTATGCTTAATTTTTATACCTTCAGTGAAGACTCTGAAATGTAAACAGCTGTACACAAAGCATGTACATTTTTTGTAAAACTGTCATCAGGAATTTTATTCATTATGTTTACAAAGCCTGTTTGTGCAAGGAACCCCCTTCCAACCTTAGTTTTAGAACTCAAGACCCTGAAAACGTCTGTTTACTCTGATGAATTGGTGTGCTCCTGTTTATTAAATAACCACATAATTTTACTGTTTGCCCTGGCAGCTAGGAAGCTTAGATTTGAGTTTTATCTTATGTTGCTTTTTAAAGAGAAAGCATTTTTCAAAATCCATGACATGATATTAGTTATACTGATCAGTGTGAATGAGAAAATGACAAAAAACTATAATGAATTCAAAATCCCAATTTATATGACTCACTTTTTAAACTTTTTAGTCCTCCCAGGACCAATGGTAAACTGTTCCTTCTGGGTCCTGAGCCACGTTAAATGCTGTATTCCCATGGGTGTCCAGGGCAGTTGGTTGACTTAGATTTAAGTCTGGCTTGAGAGCCCCAAGATATCATTGTTTATTATTCTCTCACTTATAAGTCCATGCTACTTTAGTGGGCTTGCTCCAGGAGTTAGGAGCCCTGGCGGCACAGTGGTTAAGTGTTCTGCTGCTAACTGAAAGGTCAGTGGTTCGAACCCAGCAGCTGTTCTGCAGGAGAAAGATGTGGCGATCTTCCAAAAAGATAACAGCCTTGAAAACCCTATAGGGCAGTTCTACCCTGTCCTGTCGGGTCACTATGAGTTGGAATCTACTTGATGGCAACGGGTTTCAACAGGCTTCTTGAATTGGTCAGGGCCTTGAGTGCTGTTGCTTCTCCTTAACTTCCCATTGGTGAGACCAAGTCACATGGCTACTTATGGGTGCAAAGGAACCTGGGAAATGTAGTCTTTAGTCTGGGTGGCCATTTGCCCAGCTAAAATTTGTTTATACAATGGGAGAAAAAGAAAATACTGAGGCACAACAGTGGTTCTCAGCCTGGTTGTGTTTGTGGTACCCTTTTGAATACAGGAGGTCAACCTGCACCGAGGAAGACTGAAACCAGCATCAATTAATTAAAGTGAACCCACTTAAACTATGGACCAACATTTCACAGTAAATAGTGCTTTTAATGTACGTAATTAGCTATTTTATCTTGAAAAATGGAACCACAAAATTATGAAAGTAACCTTATTTTATGTAATCAAAACTGTAGACTCGTTGCTATCTAGTTGATTCCGACTCAGCAACCTTATAGGACAGGGTAGAACTGCCCCATAGGGTTTCCTAGGCTGTAATCTTAATAGAAGCTGACTGCCTCATCTTCCTCCTGAGGAGCAGCTGGTGGGTTCGAACTGTGGACCTTTCGATTAGGACCCAAGCACTTAATTACTGCAGCACTAGGGCTCTTTTTTATATTACATCTAACAGTATTTAACAAAGTTTAGGTTATACTTGTGACTAATGAGTAGATTCTTAAAGCAGATGAATAGATGAAGTGTCAAATGAGGAGGGTATAATTTGTCCAACAAATTTAAATGGTATCAATAGGATATCCATTACAGGTAGTCCCTGACTTACGAATGGGTTCTGTTCTGATGACTCTGTCATAAGTCAGTTCTGATGTAAGCCGAGTACTTCATTTTTTTTTTATTACATCATTGTCTTATTATCAGTATCTTTATAAATACAGCACTGTTTTGAACAATAAACTGTAAAATTGAACATCTGGAAGTGAACATCTGAAAATGATAACGTCAGCAAATTACGTGCTGCAAGTTTGTATGTAGTACATATTACTAAAGATAAGGAGGTCGTAAGTGCGGCTTGTTGTAACTCAGGGACTTCCTGTACTTCGCCTTCAGCTTTCACAGCAAAACCATAGAAGGTCATTTTTGCAAAAGTATTTGAGGATTTGATCAATTTTCCCAAGGGCCTGTCTTAATCCTTTGACATCGGAATCTTGGCCTTTGAAATGCTTATTACCTCATCATCCATTTCTCATTATTATTTATCACTGGATTTGCATGTGATTCCAACCATCATCTGGCATCACTTTAATTGATTTCACAAAGCCCTGCATCTTTTACAAGATTTGCAATTTCGTTTTGCGATCATCTTTGCTTTGTGTTACCCTATGTTTGTGGTAGAGATTGACAAAGGATAAAGTGAGAGACGCTAAGC